ATATGAATATTCGTTTGATTTTTATACTTGATTTATATGTGGATCCCACATTTCTCCCTTTATTATTATTATTATTTTTATTTTTAATAAAATGCTGAAGTGGTAGGTAGATGCAAGATAAAGGTAGAAAACATAGTTTAGTGTTGTAAGAGAGCAATTGTAGATGATCAGGTGTGTGCCTGTAGACTATGTGCCCAGAACATATTTGAGGTAGCAAACTTCTGATTGGCTCAAGCAGACTAGTGGCCAGATGATTTCCCATTTTCCGTGAGGCCCAGCTTTGCTTCCTGCATTGGGTCCTTAAGATTCTCCTGTATCCTTTCAATGAATCTTTTTTAAAGTATAGTTTCAGTTGATTTATGTTCCTTGCAATCATTCAACCAGATGTTCCCTGATCAAGGAAGACACATTTTAGAACTGGAGAAGTTAAAGCGCTTGGCATATAGGGGAAAAATGATATTGTGCAGCTCTTCAGTCAGAGGAGTCTGGATTTCATTCTAAAGGCAACATACGGTCCTGAAGCCTTTCAAGTTTTTGAATAGCCCAGCGTGATGCTAACTGAAGTCAGAAAATTAATTTAGTTGGTGTGTGTAGGTTGATTGGGGTGAGAAATCAAACGGGTTTTAGACAGGCAGAAGGGAGGACGCAGGGCACAAGGCCCATGTGAGCAGAAGGGGCTTTCTTTTAAAAAACTCTCAGAAGCCTCACCCAGTGACTTCTGTTCAAATCTCACTCACTGCAACTGTGTCAAATGGCCATCCCCACTGCAAGATAGGGTGGAAAATAGTTTTTAGCTGTAGTTTTTATTGCTCCCTCAGAAAAATAGGAAGATGTGCTAGTGAGGAAAGGGAGAGTGGACATAGGTTAAGCAGCCAGTAGCATGACCATGGGATTATGGTTAATGCCGTGTCATCAGGTTCTCCCTCACCCAAGGAATAGGAAGTTACTGCCACGTCATAGGGTTCAGTGAATGGAGTGTCACTAGTGTAGAAAAACTGGCAAAGAATGTAAGTGTTTGATGTACATAAGAAGTGCAGATTTCAATCAGCGTGGAGAATATTCAGTCTCAGTGGAAACCAATAAAATACAAATAATAACAATGATATTTCATCCATTATATTTTATTGAGAACAATAAAATTAGAGTAAGTGATGGTGAGAGTGAAGCAAAAAAGGAGTAGACTTCTGGGGATAAATGGGAATCATGTCCTTCTAGAAAGTACTTTAGTACATATCAAGACCCTTTTAAAAGTTTGTGCTTTATAACCTGGATATTCCCTTCTAGGGCTGTATCCTAATAGAGCAATGAGAGATACAAGGATGGACATGCACAAAAGTTCATTTTGGAAGTAACCTGAACTTTCAGTATAGAGAGAATGGTTAAATTAAGGTACCTCTGCAGAATAGAATACTATTTAGCAACTAAATATTTTTGTAGAATATCTAAAGATACTAGAAAATTATCATTATTAATGTTAAGGCAGAAAAAATTTCAATTTTGAAAAAATGTATGTTTTCAGAAGAATGGGGAAGGAATTACATTAGAAGGTCAGTAGTAGTTATTGTTATGTAGTTGTATTTCAGGTAATTTGATTGTCTTGTAAGTTCCTGAAATGAATATTGTTTTTATAACTGGGGAATAGTATTTTGAAAATGCTTGCTAGGGAAATCCAGGTCATTTGGGTCCATTGAGGGTGATTATAATGAAATACTGGGGCAGGAGGTATATTACACATGGTTGAAGAGAAATGAGAGATGAAACATAAAAGCAGTATTTGGGGGCCAATTTTGAGAAATTTGAGGGATTATAGGAAGAATTTCAGAGAATGACTGATTTTAGGATTGAGGGAAGAGGTAGAAGGAAAGACAAGGAGAATGCAGCAGCATTCTGAAATGGGTGGGAAGAGATGGATCCAAAGGGATCACATGGGCCTGAATAGAGCCTTCCTGAAGTAGAGAAAAAAGGAGTTGAAGGGGGAATTATGGAAAGTCTGAAGTTTTAAGTTCCAAGGAGAGAAACAAAATTCTTTCCCTTTTGCTTCCTGGTGCTTCTTACACTTGCCATCCTCAGTGCTGGTACATGGCGTTGGATCCTATGCCTTTTCCTTCTTATGCAATTCCCTTTTTAATAAGGGGCTCAGTGACAGAGCAATAACAGAAGAAACTGTAGAGTGTAGTAAAGTATGATGCAATGGGAAGAACACTGGTCTAACAGATATGACCTAGAATTTTGTTTCACTGCTGTCACATTTAATCTTCATGTCATTGGTTATTGGTTTAGAGACTAGTGACCTTATTGAATCATTACTTTAAAACTTATAATACTGGCAAATGCTTAAAACACTACAGAAAGTGCATAAAATGGGAAGAAAAGTCTGTCAAACTTCTTGTGCCAGTTTGCTCGGTTTCTGTGTATTCTTGCAGATGTTTTCTAGGTGTATACATACTAATATATACATATGTTGTATATATTATATATGTATACATACTAATATATACATATTTTTCTTCACACAAATGGAATCTACAAACCACTTCTCAACTTGTTTTTCCATTTAACAGTCTATCTTGGACATGTTTTCATGTTAGCATACATGCATCTATTTCATTGTTTTTACCTGCTATATATTATTCCATTGTATAGATGAAGATAGATTCTTTGACCTAGTCTGGTGATTTTCAAGAGCCCCTTGACTACTATGGTCCTTTATTCTTTCTAGCACAGTTCTTTTATTTTTCCTTACATGGTTCTTACATGACGTTTATGTTTTTTCTTTTCTTTTATAGTAAATATTGATATCCAGAGTGACAGTAATTTGACAAAGGAAATGTGTGAAGAAAAAGATAACACATCATTTGAACTTCACAGGGACTTTTCCCAGGAAATAGACTTTTCAGAAGCCTGTATACTAGAGAAACAGCAGGAAGTCCACTCAGGAAATATGAAGAAAGAAAACAGCAGTGTCACTGATGGAATAGTGAAAGAAGAAACAAGCCCCAATGAAGAGTGTTTCTTTAGTCCAAGTCCAGACTTGTATCAGTGTCATATCATGTCCACTGAAGATCATCCCCCTAAATGTACAGGACTGGAGAAATCTTTCAGCTTTGACACAAAACTTATTCAGCACGAAGTAATTAATACTGGGGAAAGACCTTTCAAATGTGAAGAATTAGTGGAAACCTTTAGGTGTAACTCTCAATTTACCCAGCATCAAGGTGACTACACTAGGGAGAAGCCCTATCAGTATAAGGAGTGTGTCAAAGCCTTTAGTGTTAATACAAAATTACTTTGTCATCAAAGATTTCATAGTGGGGAGAAACCCTTCAAATGTGTGGAATGTGGGAAAAGCTTCAGTTACAGTTCCCATTATATCACACATCAGACAATCCACAGTGGGGAGAAGCCCTATCAGTGTAAGGTGTGTGGGAAAGCCTTCAGTGTTAATGGGAGTCTAAGTAGACATCAGAGAATCCATACAGGAGAGAAGCCCTATCAGTGCAAGGATTGTGGGAATGGCTTCAGCTGCAGTTCTGCATATATCACACACCAGAGAGTGCACACTGGGGAGAAACCTTACGAGTGCAATGACTGTGGGAAAGCTTTCAATGTTAATGCAAAATTAATTCAACACCAGAGAATCCACACTGGAGAGAAACCTTATGAATGTAATGAGTGTGGGAAAGGCTTCAGGTGCAGCTCCCAGCTTAGGCAGCATCAGAGCATCCACACTGGAGAGAAGCCTTATCAGTGTAAGGAGTGTGGGAAAGCCTTTAATAATAATGCAAAACTCATTCAGCATCAAAGAATCCACACTGGTGAGAAGCCCTATGAGTGTACTGAATGTGGAAAAGCCTTTAGTGTCAAAGGAAAGCTAATCCAGCACCAGAGGATCCACACTGGTGAGAAGCCCTATGAGTGTACTGAATGTGGGAAGGCCTTCAGGTGTAACTCCCAGCTTCGGCAGCATCTGAGAATCCACACTGGGGAGAAGCCCTATGAATGCAATGAGTGTGGAAAGGCCTTCAATGTTAATGCAAAACTAATGCAGCATCAGAGGATTCACACGGGGGAGAAACCCTTTGAATGTAATGAGTGTGGGAAATGCTTTACTTCTAAAAGAAACCTACTTGATCATCACCGAATCCATACTGGAGAAAAGCCTTATCAATGTAAGGAATGTGGGAAGGCCTTCAGTATCAATGCCAAACTAACTAGGCATCAGAGAATACACACTGGGGAGAAACCTTTCAAATGTATGGAGTGTGAGAAAGCGTTTAGCTGTAGTTCTGACTATATTGTACATCAAAGAATCCATACTGGAGAGAAACCCTTTCAGTGTAAGGAGTGTGGAAAAGCCTTCCATGTTAATGCCCATTTAATTCGGCATCAGAGAAGCCACACCGGGGAGAAACCTTTCAGATGTGTGGAGTGTGGCAAAGGTTTCAGCTTTAGCTCTGACTGTATTATACATCAGACTGTCCATACTTGGAAGAAACCCTATGTGTGTAATCTATGTGGGAAAACCTTCAGGTTTAGCTTCCAACTTAGTCAGCATCAAAGTGTTCATGGTGAAGGAAAATCCTGATAAGAAGGATGTAGAAAGCTCTCAAGGTTAATGCTGAAATGGGTTATCACCAGATTCACCCTGGTGGAAAATCCTGAGAGGGAAGTGAGTATGGCAGAGTCTTTGCATGGAAACAAGTCTTTTCCATTTTATTCAACTATAATCGTGAATGATGACCAGTTAAAAGTAATTTTCAAAAATTAATGGTTTGTTTTATACCAAAAGCCAATCAGAAAATATGAGAGAAAATATCCCATTCCCAACACTGGCAAGAAAAGTAGATTTTCTAGGAATAAATTTAATTTGCAGACTCTATATGGAGAAAGTATAAATATCTACTGAGGGCCTCCAAAGGAAACAAATAAATGGGGAGAGAGAAACCTTGGTCATGGATAAGGAAATTCATAGACATTCATTCTACCTAAATTAATTAACCTTTCATTGTTTATAATAAGCATGCATCACTTTTGTAAAGAGGAAAAACAATAAAGATTTTCTCTAAAAAAAAAGATGAGTAGACTTTTTATTTTCATGGAATAGAGAAAAACTAAGTATCAGTTGAAAGCTAGAAACTAGCCATAAGGGAAAATATTGACAAGTTATTCAAAATTAAATGTTTTTAAATATTTTGGAATCTGAACAGAATGACCAGCCCTGGACAGTAACAAACCCTAAGGGAACTCCTGGGTGGAATGGGCCTTGAGCCCTGGGACCAGCCCCCACCTTGTGCTGACCAGGAACCCGATATCCAGAGGGCCCAAGGTCATAGGACATTGGTGACAGATCCAGGACATCAGACTCTGACCTCAATGATTCTCAACCCTTTTACAGTCCCTGCCTTGGTTCTGCCACAGCAGATAAACTGCCAGACCCTGCTGGGAGGTGGAACTGCAGAATTTCCTGACACTACCCCCCATAACTGCTACAAGCAGAGACCATGTAGAGGCTATTCATGAACCAGGAGGATTTGGGTGAGCCATGGCCTTGTGACCTCCTCTTCATTATATGACCCGTCCTGGACGGTAACAGTAATAATTAAATGTTTTTAATTATTTTATTTTAAATAATCCCAAATAGGATTAAAAGATAAGGCATAAAAAGAAATAGTTTTGTAAAACTTGTGATATTAAAAGTGTACTACCTAATATACAAAAAGGTCTTAAAGTTTAGAGAAAGAGAACTAGGCTAATTAAATACAGCAAATGACACTAGCCGGAATTAAAAAGATACAAAAATGACATAAAAGTAAAAGATGTTCAGTCTTGGTAGTACTCTGAGGAGTGAAAATTAGAACAGATACACAGTCACACACAGGAAGCCCCCAAACCTTTTTCCCACAGACACAGATGTACACACAGATCCTCCCATAGACATGCACAAACATAGACATACACAGGCACACATAGAGACACAGTATACTCCCAAGACCACCTCCAACCCAGACATATCTGCCCGTGTTCTCTGTAGGTCAACCAACCAGTGTCTGTGGGCCATGCTTTCATATGCATCAAAGGAATCATTCCTGTCGACTAATGGTATAGGACATAAGTAGAGTGTCCCCGGGATGCTGTTGTGTAAGTGCCCCCTCCATGCCAGGCTCTTGGGGGCTGGGTTTGGATAGAGGCCGACTCGGAACCCTAAGAACAGGGGGGGAGCAGGGCCCATCTTCACCTGATCATCTGGTCCTGCTCCTCTTGTTGCTGGACCCTCAAGGACCAGGTTCTTGAGTTTCAATGTTGCAGAAATGAACACTGAACTCCTAAAGCACACAGGCAGTCTATTAGAGATAGCTTGTAGCAAAGGAGCTGACAAGAAAGGGGGATGTCCCACTCCTGGAAGGGGTTGCTCTTATAAAGGCAATTTTAGAGGGTTTAGGGGTTTCAGGTGGAATGGCATTGGTAAATTAGTTCATGGTATTACCTCCATCATTTGCTTTTTGGTGCTTTTTGGTTATTCCACGGTCAGCAGACACTGATTCACTGGCTTTTATAGTGAAGGCCTCCTTTTTGATGTTTCTATAGGATAAGCCTAACAGAAGAATTTTGTCAGTTCTCTCAAGGTACTGATTTTTGTGTAATAGGGACTGGGAGTGTTTGTTCTTGCTTAAGGTATGGCTGATTGTTACTCATGTGGCCAGTTAATGGAAATTATTTGTTTTTAAAGACATTCTAGGAATTCTACCTTTTAACCTTGAACCCCCAAAATGGAGGTTCAGTGTAAAATGGGGTCCCTGTTGCTCTTCCTTACCCTGTTTCACTCTGAGCAGTTTCAGACCACACACTAAGACCCAGAAGTGCCCCCGGGTCATGGTGTCCAAGCTCTTAATTATAAAGAAGCTGAAGCACAGAGATGGATAGCGATCCCCCTGGTCACAGTAAATAAGCATCTGATGTCCCTTATATAGTCAAGAGGAGGTCACAAGGCCATGGCTCACCCAAATCCTCCTGGTTCATGAATAGCCTCTACATGGTCTCTGCTTGTAGCAGTTATGGGGGGTAGTGTCAGGAAATTCTGCAGTTCCACCTCCCAGCAGGGTCTGGCAGTTTATCTGCTGTGGCAGAACCACGGCAGGGACTGTAGAAGGGTTGAGAATCATTGAGGTCAGTCTGATGTCCTGGATCTGTCACCAATGTCCCCTTGGCCCCTCTGGATATCGGGTTCCTGGTCAGCACAAGGTGGGGATTGGTCCCAGGGCTCAAGGCCCATTCCACTCAGGAAGTTCCTTAGGGTTTGTTACTGTCCAGGGCTGGTCATTCTGTTCAGATTCCAAGGACACAAGGATGAAGAAGACAGACACCTGCAAAGCCTCATGAAGTCACATGGTCCCATGGCTCAGGAACCCTGATACACTGTAGCCTTGGTGTTCACTACTCCATCCCAGAGCTGCCTGGGCCCAGTGGAAGCCTCAAGTGGACAAAGAGGAGCCACGGCACTGGGGACACCATGCCCTCACAAAAGCGTTTCTACTTTTCAGACCTAGACTCATGGGTCTGGAAGGGCCCAGATTAAATAGTCTTTTTCCCTCAGCCCAGGTCAGTTGTGTTCTGTCCCTGCGATGCACAGCACTTTCCCACCTAGTCTGTCACAGTGGAAGGGCCCTTGGAGAACATCTGGTCCTGCCCTGCCTAGGTCAGGTGGGGAAACTGAGGCTCAGAGGAAAACATGGCCGCCCAGGGCACCCAACAGGTCACGGAAGAGCCTGGAGAGAGAAGCCCAAGCAGGGAAGGGCTCCACTGATACCCGGATGGGGAGAGAGGCTCAGCACAGCTCCCCCTGGGCTGGCGGCCTCTCCTCCTGGCAGTTCTGAGCTTTTGGACTTTCTGTCCTTTCTGTCACTTAAGTCCCCATTCTCCCCAGACCGCAGTCCCGCTCTGTCCGCTCTCCTCTCTCCTGACAAGGAACTAGGGACACCCTTATCCTTACACAGTCCATTCAATTCAACCCAGGCCAGGGTTCACCAATGCTGGAACCTGAGATGAATGAGCTCGGCTTTCTCCTCGGGAGCTCCCTGCAGATGCCTCCCAGCTTTCAGGCCCCATTTGCTCAACAGACCACGTGGTCTGCTGCAAATCCAACACTTCCCAGTACTCCGGGGTTACAGCCCTGGGTCTGGGCCCTCTCGGCCAGGCTCTGTGTGCTCCGCCTGCTCTTGCGCTACCCGTGGCCCGAGACGCCTCCTGCTCCAGCATTGCTTCCCACTGCTCACCAGCCTGTGCCTACGCAGGTTAGTTTCCCGGTGGCTCCAGTGATGCTTAAGTGTGGCTCCCACCCGCTTCTGGCCACTGAAATCCCACCCACGCTCAGCCCAAGCCCAGCCTCCAGGAAGTCCTCCCCGGGTGCACGGGCCTGCTTTCCAGGCCGATTTCCTCTAGCTCGCCACGGTAAGGGGTGGTTTCACCACTGGTTCCACTGTCTACAGCCCGTCTTTGTCCTGGAACCCAGAGCCCACGTGCTCCTAGGGTGGGGCCCCGAGGCTCTGGATTCAACCCGCCCGGGGCCGCAGGCTCGGCGCGCGGGGAGGCGGTAGGTGGCCTTATGCGGCCGCCTCACCCCCAGCTGGCCCTGGGCGCGCGCCCTTTCGCCCTGGCACTGTTCCGGCCACTCTGTGAGAAGGGGCAGGGACGTTGGTTCCAAGCGTCCAGGGCCTTGCAACCGGCACTACGTGCAGAGTAGCCATTAGGCGTCACGGGACGCCAGCCTGGCCTCCTGCTGCCCCCTGGCGGCCAGTGCGTTCACTGCAGGGCAGAGGCGCCCCGCGAAGCTCTCTTGTAGGGGTGGGAAGAAAAGAACGGCGACTGCAAGGCAGCCCGGGCTCCTCACGGGAGGACTAGAAGGCTCCTTCCTGCCCTGATCCTGAGGAGCATCCCGTGAGCAGCGTGCTGGGGCAGCCAGGTCTGAGCACTTGGTGGAAAACCTCCTGTGGGTCCCCCGGCGTTGGGGTTGGGGTAGAACATGAACCTACCGGGAGGGAGACCTGGCACCCTGCAGGCCACAGTCGGAAGGCCGCCCCGAACGGGTTAGCCCCGCGCTTTGCAAACTTTTCTTAAAAGAAGCGTAACCTTTCCCCCACTCCCTAATGAAATCCTACTCAGAGGCCCATACTATGAACTCATGTAAGGAATGCTGCTGTGGAGGGCCGTGAGGAAGGGCCAGCTGCCAGGGGTCCCTAAGCGTGAAGGGCAGGGGGCTTTGCTTAAAGGCCCTTTGGGAGGTAGGAGGTGGATCCGGACCGAAACTGGAATGCAGTATTCAGAATCCAAGCGTCACACAGCTGGGCTGCGGGTGGGAAGTGGGAAGGAAGAATAATTAAAGATGGTGGACCCGCCACCATGCTCCTCTGGTAAGGGTGCATGATAAGGAATGGTGAGTTGGGGCCCGCATGACGGAGAGTGGAAGCCCAAGTGAGCGGTAAGGATGGGCCTGGCCGTGCCATGCAGTGACCCTCTACCTGGAGGGCTTCTGCACCGCCTTCACACCGATCTCAGCCAGGTGCCTTCTCCCTCTTGCTGGCCTCCCTGGTCTCCATGGCCAGCACTGGGGCCCTTGCTCTGTGGCCTTCACTAGCTCTCTGCCCTCACCTCCGCTTAATCTTTAGCACTCTGCCCTCTGTACTTGGAGCTGCTGGTGAGCGGCAGAGCTCACTGGGCCAGGCAGGACCTTGCTCATGAATAATTTCGATTGAATGGATGTCAGCGAAACAGTAAGGAAAGAAGTTGTTTTATGCCTGTGTTTATATGGTTTATACATTTTCATCAGCAGACATCCAGGTGCGTTCTAGTGCAGAAAGAGAAATTCCTTCAAATGCTGGGGGGCTTTGAGCGCCGTCTCAAGTAGAAGTTGGTTGCTCTCCAACTGCCCACCAGAGGGCGCTTCAGCCCCCCAACTATAAATCCGGGGGCTGGAGTTTGAGATCCGGCTCAGGGGATCAACCCTGGTCTCAGTATTGGTCCGAGTGCAGAGCTTCCCCTCCCCTCGGCGTGCCCCTCGGCCTCGGCGAAGAGCACTATAG